GAGACGGCACGCGTGTGAGCATGTCCCCAGCGTGCCGTCAGCACGGGACAGGGCCTCCAGCGCCATGTCTGATGGCGAGCAGCCTCCCTGTCCGAACCTGTGGCCCTGCAGATTCTCGTCTGCTGCGCTCTGCCTCTCACAGCTTTTCCATGTCCTACAGTGAGAAGACCCCCGCACTGACGCTCAGAGACGTCCCAGATCACTGGTGTCGCCCACAAGGCCCTTCGAATTTGGAGGGTCCAGAGACCTGGGGGAAAGGACATCTTTATTTTCACCAACTTCCAGCTGAATGTGGTCCATACACTGGGAACTTTGTCACCAATAAAAAACCTGACATTTTCCTATATTAATCAGTGTCCGCTTTTCATACTGTTTGCGCTCATAGCTACTCTGAAATTAAATGGCTGTTAGAGATGAGGCCTTGTTACTTAACACATTAAGAAGCACACATTATAAAAATATTTTGATCACTGTGTCCCAGTATAATTAGTCGTCTCTGTAGTCCCATTAATGTGTTTGACTCATTTGAAAACCTTCTCAAGAGAGGCCCCAGGCTGTCAGCAAACACCGGAGGACCAGCGTGGTGGCCCAGGAAACACCGCAGCTACTGCTTGCCGTGGACACAGGAGTCCTGGGACCACTGGCTGCCCCTGCCCACCCAGCCGCTTCCAGAACTTTCAGTGCTGGCAACTGCGGTGCTGCGGTGGCTGCGCAGTGCGTAGCTGGCCCTTCCTGTCCTCCTTGCCAGCAGCGCCCACTCTCGGGACAGGGACGACGGCAATGGGAGAAGACGGTTGTGGCTGCATCAGCCCTGGGTGCCCGGGTCTGGGCGATGGGGCCTGAGAAGCCTGCAGGGCCGGGGTGGTGGTCACGGGGACAGCTGTGTCATACTTAGAGACGAAAAGAGGACAAGCGAGAAGGATGGATGGATGGAAAGAGAGGGAGGGTGGGGAAGAGAGAGAAGACAGGACGAGACAGACACACAGCGGGAAGGAGGCTTTGTTTCACCGGGCGGCGTCTCGTGCCCTGGCGGTGGGGGACAGGTGCCAGGCAGAGAGCAGCCTGCTCACAACGCGGCACCCCAGGACGGGTCTGGACCCTGGCCAGCTTGGGATTGCTTGTTGCCTAATAAATGTCCTTTTATGAAACTGCATTTCGTTGGGATTTCTGCCACATAAAACAGAAAGGGCCCCGATCAACAATTCCCTGCAATCCAGGAGCAACGTGGACAGCTCATTTCTGGAAGCTCTTGGGTGAGCTTGTATCACCAATGCAAGCTCTCACGCCTCAGCCCTCGGTGGCGGCCCCCCAACCCCCATCACTATCAGAAGGGCAGGGCCTTTCCGAGACTCAGCCTTTATTCTCGGACCTGTATTCAAGGTCTGGATCCACGCTTCACTCCCCCATGGGATGGAACCCACAACAGTCTTTTCTGCAGCTCCCTCCCCGCCCCCCGCCCCCCCAAACCAGCCACAGGCACCCAGGCAGAAGCTGCCAAGAATCTTTCTCATCACTTCTTTGGACCCTATGGGTACAAAATCTTTTGGAAACATAGGCTTCCAAACCATTTGCAGGCACATGTGATACACAAAATCAAATACATATACATTGTGTTATTACTGAATTGCTCAACTACGTAGCATGTCTAGGAAGGCAATTTTCTCTTGGGTCAGTCTATGGACGGAGATAGCAAGAAGAGCTATTTTACTTTTCTGGCTGAATGTATATTTTTTAAAATATGGAATATACTGTGGAATCAAAGAGCTGAGTTGGGTTGTTTTATTCCATAAATATTTTGCAAATCCTTCCTCTGCTCCAGTCCAGAGCTCCCCCGTGCCCCAGGACGAGCCCAGCGCACTGCTGGGCATTAGGGGGTGCCCCATCTGGCTCCCCCGTGCACTGGAAATCCACCCCCCACACCCGCCCCCCCGCAACTCTGAGCCTGCAGGGCACTTAGCTTGCTGCCTTTTTTTTTTTTGCATTTAATGTTTCCTGTCCTCCTTGATCTTTAGAACTTTCAGGGCAACACAGTTTCTCAGCAAATATTTATTGAACGAATCAACTTTTCCCTGTTGCCAAAGCAAGAAACACACACGCAGATTCCTTGAGGGTTCTGACAAACACAGCGCAGCTACGCTGCTGAGCTTGTTTTGTTTCTTGGACAGCAGGACAGCCACGTTTGTGGTTGTCTTAAATAAAACGGGAGAAAGAGGCCGCCTAAACGTGGCCTCCAGAATGTCAAAAACGCTATCTGGGCGGCCTTTCTAGTGCCCTACCCCTCTCGCTCAATCTCAGTCCAAATGACTAAGAACCGGTCAATGCTGCGATTCCTGGACACACCTGTGGGGGCGCTGAAAGGTGGGTATTTTAAAAGGCCAAGCAGGAGCAGGGGAGGATCTCAGCCGGCTGGATGGAACTGGGGCGCTCAGGCAGCTGGTGAACAAGTCCATGCGTTTTAAATACTCTTAAAAGCTGTGCAAATATTGCCTCCCTTTCTCCACCCCGGCTTGGACTGTAGGCTCTCGGCCTGGGTACCTAGGAGAGGTGTGACCTTGAGCGGGTGAGTCCCTGACCTTGAGCAAGTTAGCAGCTTCAAGCACCAGCTTCCTGCGCAGGCTGTAAAACGCAGCCCCCGATACTGCCTCACAGGTGACTGAGAAGATAATGGGAATGGTTATTATTACAGGTAAGAATAAGCAACAAAAGGGCACAGCGGTGAGAGGTGTGTGCATTTTAAACAGTGTGACAGGAAATGGTGATGGCACAGGGCCTCTGCAGGGGACCGTCGCGAGCTTCTCAAACACCAGGCGCATCCCTCCCCCCACCGCCCCAGCGAATGACTGCAGCGGCCGCCAGGGGGGCGTTATCTATAAAGTATCTTCTCTTTATTTAAGTTAAACAATTTTCAAGGATGGTTTCCATCTATAAAATGGACAAAGTACAAGCTCTGTACAGCAGTTCTTTTAAAAAATCAACTGGAAAAAAAATTACCAAACTATATTTTGAATTTGCAAAACATACTCACAGACACCACCATCTCAGCGTGTATGAAGACATAAGACAGACCGTCACAGGGGGGGTGACGAACTTCGCCACGCGCCGCTCGCTCGAGGGCTCTTAGGGGAGGGGCTTCATTTGTAAAAATGGAGTGGGGGGGGGCAGGCCCGATGACTACAAAATAATGCAGCCACAGTCAGTCCCTTTGGCACACTGTGTCATGTAAACATAGCTCACCTCGAAGGAGCCCTCCCAGCCCACCTCTGCTCGCAGCACCCACGCGTCCAAGGCCGCTGCGCCCACCAGCTCAGGGACAGGGAGCCCCCCCCCGCCCCCCACCTCCGCGAGGGATGGGACGGACCAGTCACGATGGAACAGGGTCGGCTACACGTGTAGGTTGGGTGGGCGTGTGGGCGAAGGATCGTCGAGAACCTGATTACGATTTGTTTTCCATTAGTGGGTTTTCTCTAACAGTAGTAAGAGCTCACAGGTGGCAGGCCCGACGGAGGAAGCCAGGGACCAGGGCTGAGGGCCCTGGCGGTGACTGGTTCCTGCTCCACCTGCATCCAACAGCCTCACACAGGCACCCAAGGCTCTCCCCGGGGCCAGCTTGTGGTCACGCTCGGCCTGAGGATGCCAAGGTGCAGGTTCACCCAGCTCTGGCCGCCCCGGCCGCTCAGGCATCTGGCTGCTTGGCAGGGGCCAAAACGGGAGCGGACAGAGGACAAAGTCACCCACACTTCTGTCCCTGATCCCACCGTCACAAGCAAACACAGGAAGAGAGACCAACAGTGTTCCCTTTCCTCAAAGAAATAAGCAGGAAAGGTGGCACTTGGCAGTGCCAACCCCGCAGGATCTCTCGGGTCCACTTCTCGCCCTGCGGCCTCCCAGGGCCTCCGAAGGGGCCCAAAGATGCGTTCAGTACGCCGGTCCCACCACGTGGTAGCTGGTGGGCTGCCCAGCGTGGCGGGCCCCTTGGAGACCAGGCAGGCGTGGGAGGGCCAGAATGACCCAGCAGCCTGTTGTAGGGGCTGGGGCTGGTCTGCTACTGCATGTGGGGACACTTCAAAGGCGAGGAGGGCTCTGCAGGAACATTCCTGGGTGCGCCGGCGGACGGACGCCTGGGCACCTCTTCCTGCTGTTACTTTTAGTTCGTAACTGTCTGTGGTCCATACCGACTTCTGCTTCCTAAACCACAAGGCTGCCGCTTTAGGCCCTGAGGCCCGGCAGCGGCAGGTGGGCAGTGCTGGCTCCCGCCCTCCCCAGGGCCAGACCCAGAGCCCCCGCGGCGCCCCGGCCTGGGAGGGGCGGAGCAGGCAGGGCCGACGGCAGGGCCCGGGGCCTCAACGGGGCCCCCGGCGCACCCGGGCACGCACACCAGCCCGATGCCAGCCTGTGACAGCTTCTGACAGTCATTGGGAGCTATGGGATTGTTTCTTTTGTTTTCCTTAGAGAAAAGAAATTTAATTTAAAAAGACCTAAAGCAATGTGTGTCAAAATAAGTAACCTGTTCAGGTTTATAGCTACCAAGGGCACAAAAAGTGGATTCCAACACGCAGCAGTGACTGACTGCCAGGCTAAAGCCAAACGGAGGCGTGCGGCCTGGGGCCGGCGGTCCGGGCAAGCCCCGCAGCCGGCCGGGGGCTCCCGCTCACAGCCAGGGCCCCTCCCCGGGGGCAGAGGCCACTTCCGCCCTGCACCGCCGTGCACTGCTTCGTGGAGAATGTACAGGATGAGGACGACCTACGGAAACCATAGGGGACTGACCGAACGCGCTTTCTTTATATATATTTATATTTAGTGTCCCACCATAGAAAAGTTCATACTCAAATACAGCAAGGACGTGGTGTGGAGGGGGCCTGCGGCTGGGAAACGAGGAGCGGGGACGAGGAGGAAGACAGAACCACAGGGCGATGATTTGGTGTGGCGGGCGCCGCACGTGACTGCCTGGGGTCGGAGTGGAGAGGTGCAGAGCTCTCCTTGCTGCGGTGCGGGGGGGGGGGGGGGGCACCCACGCCCCCTCCCCTGCCGGTCCCCACCGCACGCCTTCGCCCTCCCTGTTGCTGGAGACGCTCCTCAGAGTCTGAGCGAGGGCCGGGAGGCCGCCGGCAAGGAGGGGGCGGCTGCGGCCTCCGGGGAGGGCACCTGGCTGTGTCCTGTGACCGGAGGGGATGAACCCTCTTTCCGCGCCTCTTCCGTGTCCGCCCAGCCCCCGTGCCTTGCGGAGGTGCTCCGGCCTTCAGACCTTGATGGAATACTGAGGTATATAGTTTCGCGGAAAGTTTAAGAAACATAATTGACAATGTGACCATCCATGCGACTCAGCGGCCGGCGCAGGGACGGCCGCCGGCCCGGCGCGCCTACTGCTGCAGGTTGAGCGAGAACTTCCACTGCTGGGACAGCGCGGGGCCGCACACCTCCACGCTCAGGCCGCCCGTCTTGGCTGTGCGGCTGTCCAGGCACAGGTTGCTGCCCACGTGCCGCAGCTTGGAATTGCCTTCGATCTGCTCCCATTTCTGCAAAAGACAGGAGGACGTCTTACCACGCAAGCATGGACGAACGAGCACAGGTAGGTCCGTTTTCCTGGTCGTGTGGCTGGATTAAAAACCAACCGGCAAACATCCTCCTCTGGTTTCTGATCATAAAGGAGCGGGGTTCTGCGACGACGCAGCCACGGGGGCTGCTGGGGGCCCAGGACAGAAATCCCTGTCCCTCTTGGTTTGCAACTCGAGGCCGCTTCTCTGCTGGGGCCTCTTCTCTCGCCCTGACCTGTCCCTGCTCTGGGTGTCCCCTCGTCCAAGCCTCACGCTCTCCTGGAGGGAATTTGTATCTACTCACTGGAAGCTGTGAGCTGATACTGCCCCCCAAGAAAGGAGCCACAGGAGGGGGGCCAGCTCACAGGGGGCCCTGGCCAGCCCCTGGCTGCGGGAAGCAGCCCTGTCCGGGGGCTTGGCCTGGGCCCCTCCAGGCTTCCACTCAGGGACTACATTCCAGTGAACCAGACGCACTGTCAGTTCGAATAACGGGGTGATGCTGTTGTGCACAGAACGTCAAGTTGAGGAACCTACTTCTATACTGTCTGTGTGTCTTCTGTACTAGTACATGTGCTCCGTGGTGGCTGTGAGACACCAGTCTCAGCCACCCCAGAGTCCCCTACGGCAGCGCTGTGCATGGCAGGGACCAAACAATACCTGTTGAGGTCTGAATGTCCCACTTGTAAAAACACAGGGCGTGTCTCCTACTCATGTGTGTACACACCCACACCCCCAATTAACACAACCAAACCAAACCAACCCCAACCAACCAACCAACCAACCAACCAGCCTTAGCCAACCAACCAAACTCAATGCCCAATCAGCCCGCCCATCAGCCCAGCAGGTCAGAAAGCAAAGCCCCTGGCCCCGCCTACAGGGAACCTGGGGACATTTTACCCTGTTGTTTATTCCCACATAAAAATCTCTAATGCTTGTTCTTAAAAAAAAAAAAGAAAAAAAGTAACACACTTTTTTCCTCCCCAAAGCTCTTCCTTCATTAATGTGGTCTGTGATTCTAATTAGTTTTTTACGCTGTATGCACTAAGGCTCCTTTCCGTATTTTTGCAAATCCTTTCAGTACCGTGGGAGTCAATTTTCTTCCTCCTGCCTCCCTTTCCCCTCTGACTCCGCAAATGCACACACAACACGCGCACACAGACGTGCCTGGAAACCAAATATTCCGACTGGCCAGACACGGCCACTTTAAGATAAAAATAGCCGAGAAGCCTCTTCTCAAAGGGCAGGTGGAGGCGGCGGGGGAGGCAGGGCACCGGCCGAGTGCCCCGGGCCCAGCCCTCCACACAGGGGTCGCAGGCGCTCTCCGAAGGACCCCGTGCGCCCCGCTCACCGGGAGTTTCTGACGACAGTGCGGTTCGAGGCGACCAGATGGGCACAGGGGCGGCTACCGCTGCCCGCCCGCCACCCCTCCTTCGCCCGGCTCCCTCCTGCCGCCTGTCCCTGCCCGCGCGGTTTCTCTCCGCTGTCACAGAAGGGCGTACGCGGCTGCCAACCTCCGTGTATCACTCCGAGTGGCCTGCAATCAACTGGACAAAACGCAGGATGAATGAAGTCTCATTCCCTCTCTAGGGGCGTCCTGTCTGTCATAGGCCGAAGCATCTGCTGCACGGAGGGCCTTCAAAAACAGCTGGTCCCAGCCGTCTGCGGGCAGCAGCCACGCCAGCTTGGACCCGCGGTCCGGGGCCGCCGTGGGGGCGGGCACGCTGCTGAGATATCGAGGCTCCACTGCGCGCTACAGGAGCCTCGCTTTCTGACTGGGAATACTCCTCTCTCAGGGGCTAAGTCTCAGGGTGAATGGTCCTCACGCACGCCACGCCCAGGTGTGCCAAGCCAGCTGTGCGCGGGCCTTTCGGGGGTGTCGGTGAGGGTCCCGAGAACCGGGGCCGCAGAGGTAACACCTGTCAGCCCCTGAAATAAGCCAGGCCTTGCTAAGGGCAACTGCTCTACAGGAGAGGCACCCTCTGTCTTTTAGAACAGTCTGGAGACCACAGGATGCCATCACGGTCCTTCCTCCACATCCCCACCGATGTACGGCCGATACGCCCCATGCGCCCGGGCGCGGCTGCCTGACCTGAGCAGGGCCTTCCCACCTGCAGGATTCTACGTGGCCAGGTCCAAGGGACAGTGGCCTGTTTAACAGTCCTTCTTACTCCCCAGGGTATTACAGTCAGAAACGCCATCTGTAGTACAAGGGGGTTTTACAGGGACCACCGACAGTGGGTGGAGCCTGCAGGGTGGGCCCCCCGGCGTGCCAGGCTGGGGATCCGCAGAGTCGGGGAGTGGGGCACCAGGGGTGGGTCTGGGGCTGGACTGAGAAAGATGGCCCTTTGCATGCTCTTCACAGACACCTGGCATCTCAGCAAGACCCCTGGTGTGGGCCTCAGTCTTCCCAAGTGATCCCTTTTGTGAAACCAGGGTGGGACTAGACACCCACACAGGGTCCTCACTCCAGCAGGCTCCACGCCTCAGTTTCCCTACACCCGCTGTCCCATTGGGAGGGATCGTAAGATGGGCCCGCACCCTACCCGTGGCACGTGGGAAGGTCCTCTGCGGTGCCTCACTGTCCCTGACCCTGGCCACTACTCCACGGCTCAAGGAATGGTCTGCCTCCAGCTCCTGCTCCAGGGGGATGTCACAGAAACCAGTGTAAGAGATAAAAATATAATCTGAACTGCTTGGAAAAAGGAATATATGCATGTGTGCACGCGCACACACACACACACACACTTGAGTGTGTATTTGGATAAAGTCTCACCCATTTCCACTTTAATCACTTGGAATTTTTGTAAACTTAAAAGGAAAAAGTACTTAATGAATGAACAAAACCACGTACTTTCTCTTTAAACCCAGTGGCAGGGTGGGGAGACCGGGAGTGCAGCAGACGAGGCGCCCCCCCGGCCGCTGGTTTCGGACACGGCGGCCCCTCGCAGGCCTGGCTCTCGGCGCCTGGGTCCAGCCTCACCCAAACGGCACCGCAGGGAGGCTTCCCATCTTGGTGACATTATCGGCGACCTCTCCTCCTTTGCTAGCACTTATTTGAAGGGCAGTGCTCCCCAACGCCTCGTGAATAAAGCCACAAACTCCTGCTTCCTGAATGAAGCTCTGTGCCACACCTGGCATTCTGTCCAGCGGACGCCGTTCCAGCCATGGCAGCGGCGGCTGGCGCGTCCATCCGTGCTCCTGCCCGGCCCCGTTTTCAGCTCTGCAGGGAGGCGGGGCCCCAGGTCGCAGCTCTGCGCCTGTCCCTCCCGCTCCTGAGCCCGAGGTCGCCACATGTGGAGACCTGAGGGAGCAGCACGCTGTGGGGACCCAGCCACGATGCTCCACACACAGACACACGCTCCAGCCGTCAGTGTCCCTGCCTCTCCGTGTCCCCTGGCATCACCGGGTAAAAACTTTTGAGGTGCTCACGTGTAAGTGACTGGGCCTGGTGGCCGCCGGAAAAAGGCTTCTTAAAAAGAGACCACCAGCCCCGCTGGCCTTGCAGCCCTACCCCACTGCCCAGCCCAGGGCCGGTCCTTACGGCCCTTCGTGGGGACGGCACGGTCACAAAATACGGCCCCTGCCTTTCCAGTCTGGCTACAAGGTGAGGCCCACATATCAACAGACCAAGAGGCGACGGGAAGACGTGAGCCGGGATGGATGACCTCGCGGCGGACGCAGACAATGGGCAGCAGAGGGGAGGCAAACTGTCCAGGGCAGGGGCTGGCGGGAGCCGCACCCGCCTCTCCCAGCACCGCGGCCCTCGTTCCCCGGGCCTGGGGTGTGCCAAGGGCCCCTACATGCCCGGAGCTCTGCACCGCGTTGGGGCTGCAGGGGGAGCGAGGAGCTGAAGCTGAATAAGGCCGCTGGACATCAGTCATGTTAGCGGGCGATGTGCAGCCCAAGCGGGCCGGCCGGAGGGCCCGGTGCCCTCGGGTGCCGAGAACCGTACCTGTCTGCTGTCGTTTTCTCGGCAGCCCTGCAGCTTAATGAGCGAGCCGGGCGCCCGGTCCACCACCGTCAGACACAAGTCCATGTGCTTCACCGACTTCTCCTTGGTCAGGGCCCATTCCTGGAACATAGAACGGGACGCGGTCAGGGCCCGGGCCGGGCAGGGCCGAGAGGCGAGAGATGCGAGTGAGGTCCCGGAAGGGCAACAGGGAGCTAGCGTTCAGGCCCCCTGGACCCTCGCAGAACTTCTGAGTTGCCGCCAAGCGGCCAAGCCCGAGGCGCCACCTTCCTGACACAGGAGACCTCGGCGCCTGGAGAACTAGATCCCTTTGTCCCCCGTTTTCCCAGCGCTTTGTGTTTCTGGGGGTGAAATGATTTCAGTGTCTTCATCATGGCCACGGACCAAAACGGGTAGTATCAGCCTGTCCCTGTCTTCATGCCGAGGCCCAGACCGAGGACAGAAACACGCTCCGTGCGGGAGGACCGCGCCTGGAGCAGAGCGAGAACGACGGGCACAGCACGCGGTCCTGCGGGCCACCTGGTTTCCCAGCGGACAGTGAACCCCATTCCACCCGAGGGCCTCAGACCGAAGGGCTGACGGCACCGTCATGTTCACAGCGGGACGGCCCCTTCCCGTCCCCCAGACACTGCCCGGCTTGTGCCTCCTGCTGTTCCTCCCTCCCCTACTCTGCCTCCCCCGCCCCCCAGGTTCCTCTTCTGGGCCCAATCTAGCATTTGCCGGGCCTGGGCAAGAACGCACGCGGGGACCCGCAAACGGAGCAGCAACCCGAGGCTGGCTGTGTGCTCACCCAAAACTCACAGCCTGCCCCCCCTCCCCCCCCAGCGAGCATCCTCGGGAGCCAGGGGACATCCTCTGCGGACAGAGTGGAGAGCCTGGGAGCCCGGGACCGGCACACGTGTGCTGGGCGGACCCTGGACGCCGGCCCGAGGCTGGATGGGGACCGCCCTCCCCGTCTCGTGCCTCCCTGTCTAACTGAGGATGTCCAAGTGACCCCTAAAACATCACCAGGTGAAGAAAGGAGGCAAAGTATTTGGGGACTGCAGCCGCCTAGATACTCCTCGGGAGGGCGTGGACCAGCCCCTATCACGCAAAAGCCGGCGCCCTAGTGTGAAAATGGTTCCGGTGTTTAAAGAAGGTTCTGGGACCAATAAACCTGGATACACTGAGCTAAGTTGCATTTTTTTTTTCTTGATTGCAAGGTCTTTGAGAGCAGGGCATGTTTTTGAGGAGGGAAGAGCACACAGCTCTGCCGAAACCTGGCTGTGCACAAAGCCCATCGCCGTCTCGCGGGAACGCCGCCCTCGGGCCACACGGGCCTTGGGGACGCCGAGCAGCCCTGGCCTCTCCCCCGTCCCTGACGACAGGTTTTTGTGCCTCTAGGAAAAGGTGCGTGCGTGTCAAACTGAAGCACATAATTATTAATAGTCCATCTCTCAGCTATTATTATCTAACAGGCAGAAAACCAGAATGGCTTTAGCAGGAGCCGCAGTGCCCGGGGTGAAGCGCCTACTGAGCAGGGACAGCGGCAGGTGTTTATGGGCACAGAGACCTGGGGGTGGAAAAGGCCACCGGCCCGGTGGCCGGCCCCTGACAGCGGATGACAGTGGGTGCGGATGTCAGCGCTCCCCTGGCCTGGGGCGAGGGTCAGGCTCTGGGCATCAGTCAGGATCTGGGACGTCGACCCGCCCCCGAGGCCGGCTGCAGGCGGATGTGACCAGCAGGAGCCAGGAGCTTCCTCACAGACATCTCCGGTGACAGGATAGGGGGGCGGCCAGGGCTGGTCACCTCGGGACCCCTCCCTGTTCTCTCTGGGCCTCCCGGCGCTCAAGTTCACCGCACGCACATACCTGGTTCCCGCCAGCATTGTGACACTCGTAAACGCCAACGACGCCGTCGGCAAAATGCCCCAGCGTGTCGAGGCAGTTGGTTCCCTGCTGCAAGGCCCCGAAAGCGATGTCCTGATGGTCGGGGACCCTGGAAAGCAACGTGAGAGGCGTCTGCTTACCTCCTCAGGTCGCCAGCTCCGGATGCCCAGGCCCGTGCCGGTGGCTTCGTCTCGGGCGGCAGGAACACGGAGAGGCAGGAGGGACTGGAGCCGCAGCCTACCCACCACGGGCACACGGCGTGTGCGTTGCTAGCCCTCACCGAAGACTTTATGTTGGAGAAAGATCCTTTCCATTCCGTATCTGGGAAATTTTTTTGGAAAGGAAAAGCTCCTACACTCTCGATGGATCTGGTGGGGGTCGTTTAGAAAAGCAATGGCGGGTGCTCGGGTGCTGCTGCCTCTCTGCAGCGGGCGTACGATTTGACCTTCACCGAGTACAGCAGGTGTGCGTTTGTCAGGTGACCCGATACAGACACAGCTCCAGTGCCGCGGGTGGGATCCCCGAGCCGCAGGACTGGACTGCCTTCGGCTGCTCGCTGGGGAAGCTTTCATTCTCTGCCCCTGAACCTCAGTTCCCTCTCCTGCACGTTACCGACCAAACAGGCTTGTTACGAGTTTTCCATAGAACATCTCGTGTTCAAGCCGGCAGCCCGGAGCCTGCCGTTGGGAAGCACTCTGTGAGGGGCAGCCGTTATTTCAGGTGTGACGCCAATGTGCCGTGGGTGCTGCTGGGCGCGAACGGGGGTGGGGGGAGCGGGCCCGCCCGCTCGCGGGCCTGAGCGCTCCAGAGGTGGTCTTAAGGGGTGCAGGGCCCAGTGTCACCCCAAATCACCAGTGAACTGAGCCTGAAGCTGCATTTGAGGTCGCTCTGTCTGGTGTCGCTGACCACTAAGCCACAGGTGACTGGGACAGCAAGGCGGGCCCCTTAGGGGCTCCATCCCACTGCTGCAGCGCCCCTCACGGGCCAGGGGACAGACAGTGGCGACTGGAGCTTCCGCAGGTGACCAGCACCCCCCTTAGTCCCCAGCAAGGCCGTCTGTCCTTAGGGGCAGAGAAGCAGCGCCACAGAGTGGCGTCCACGAGGCGGGCTGTGTCACCCAGCGCCTGGGCAGGCCTCTGCGACACGCTCGGAAGGACGGTAATGTGGCCTCGCTGTGGGGCGCGCTGGGAGCAGAGGGAGGAGTGTGCCCCCTTGAGGCCACGCCTGTCTGGCAGTCCCTTTCAGAAGATGACAGTCAGATGGAGCTTGAAGCCTGCAGACCCTACGGGTCCCCAGAGGAAGGCGTCGCTGCTGCCCGGGGACACGGAGCTCTGCTGGCCCACAGGTGAGCTCTGCTGGCCCCCGGGAGCAGCAGGAAGGTGGAGGAGAGGAGCGAGGAGGGCGGGGCCGCATGAGCCGGAACAGGGAGGCCGCGGAGGCACCCGGCAGGGAGGGACGCAGGGAGGGACGCAGGGCGGACCTGGGGGCCGCTCTTCGGGCCACTCACAGAGCCGGTGAGACAACAGTCCTCTGGGTCACTGGGCCCGTCTATTACCAGTGGGAAACAAGCTCAATGGGGTGACAACCTGAACTGCTCCCAGGTCTAAGAAGAACGGGAGGGTCACGCAGCAGGGGAGCGAGCAGGCGGCCACGGTTCAGGGGCGCACTCTCAGCGGTGCTGGGGACAGCTGCGGGGCTGGGACGCGGGCTCTCATGGGGGCCCCAGCGGCGGCCCCCGGCTGACACACACCTTGCCACACTGCGCAAGGCCTCGCCGCCTCTCCGACACCTGCTGCCTCCGAGCCCAGCCCCTCGGGACTCACCTCAGCTCAGGGTAGACGTTCTCAAGGTACCACCGGAACGGCTTGCAGCTGAGTTTCTTCCTAAGCTCCACGCGGCTCTGAATGCTGGGGAAGAGAGAATCGAGACCCTCGTACACAGTTTCAGACCTTATGGACTCTTCCCACCGACCCCGGAAATCTACCCACGAGCACAGGGCGGGGGCAGGAGGTGCGGCCCCGACTGTCCACCCGTGTCCCTGTCTCTCACCTTAGGGCCCGCACCCGCCCTTGAGCAGAGGTCCCCCTTGGACACCTGCGTGGCTCCTCTCAACTCTGGCCACAGAAAGGTTCTTGGGGTTCAGGCTGGACATTGCCCCATTCCATGTCCCTCCCCCAGGACCCCGAGCGAAGCGAAGAGAGGACACAGTGACACTTACTTGCCGTAAGGGACGTTCCTGGCCGAAGGCACTGCTGCGTAGTAGAAATTTTTGTACTCGTCCATCCAGACCTCTGCCGCCCGGCGCGTGTTCCTAGGGACAAAGCAAGCCTCCCTGAGCTGCGGTCTGGCCTGCTTCCTGGCCGCCCGCATCGCTCTGCTCTTGTCCGCTTGGAGAGCCACGCAGGACGGCCCTTCCCGGGGGCCGGCAGCTCTGGCGGTGGTGCGGGGAGCAGGCTGCCCCGCTCAGCGCCCCGGTTCTGATGGCGGGGAGCTGGTGTTCAGCAGGCGCTTACTGAACAAGGGGAGCTCACTTTCTTGTCTTTCACAGAACACAGGTTATCGGAGGGCGAAAGCTAGAATCCACCACAGGCAGGTGCTTTAGAGAAGGAACTGGGGGTGCGGCATAAAGGAAAGGGGGAGTTATCCTGCAAGGACGCGTGTTAGGTACCCACAGACGGCCGGCACCAGGGAGCGCAGCCCGAAACCCTGGGCCTCTGCGTCCTTTGTCACCGTGGCTTTACCACCACTAGGAAGCTCTGGGGACAGTTAAGAACAGATAAGAGTTTTTATTAAAATGCCTTTCTTTTATGCAGACTGAGGTGAGGGGCCTGTTTCCACAGGGAATAGTGACAAGAAGGGAACAGTCCTTTATGCCCCCATTTGGGGCTCCTCCTGCTCAGTGCGGGAAGCGGGGGGCACAGGCAGAGCAGGTTTTTCTAGAAGGCAAGGAAAGCCCGGGCTTCAGCCCCACGACCGTGGAGAAAGCCATCACTTGAGATCGCCAAGCCCTGAACAAGCTACTTGCGAAGGTCTGACGAGCACCGCAGGCCACCGCGTGCGCAGGCGGCCGTGGCGCATCCTGCCAACGTGCCTCTCGGAGCGCCCATGCCGGGGCGCGGGTGCAGCGAACCTCTTTGCTCTCACACACTGGACTCGGATCCAAAGCGGACGCGCTCCTTGGGCTGAGAGCCAGCCCCCCGAGGCCCTGTAGAGAAGGCATTCTGTTCTTCCAGAATAACTGTGTGGGGAGGCCATGTGCACCTTTTAAAATAACCCATTTGCTCCCCAGAAAGGTCTCCTTTAAAGAGTGAGCTAGTTACAGTGACTGAAATCCTTTCCACCTGACATATGTCTTTGACACACAGTGACGCGGGGACCTTTTCCCTGCCTGCGAAGTGGAAGAGGGACCGGCGTGGGGGTGCCGCGTGGAAGGCAGACGAGGCAGCGTGAACGCACCGTCCTCGGGTCCCTGGAGCACGACCTCAGGGAAGGAGTAACAGGAGTGAGCGCAGACCCCGGCCGTGTGCAGCGGGGCCACCTCAGCACCGTTTCTCACGGCAAAGCAATCGGACGCTGTGTGACCGACGACAGGAAAGCGATCAACTAAATGGGCGAACCGTCGCCATTCACAACACCGGCGCACACCTTACATGCGGGCAAGAAATGAACGTCCGTGCCGTGCTGGGTGAGAACACAACAGGTGACAGAGCTGCAGCAGGCAGGTGTGTGTGTGGACGGAGGGGGTGGAGGGGAGGGGTAAACCCGTCACATTATGAGAGTGTCATCTTTGGTAATGAGATCGAAGATCTTTTACTTTCTGTAAAAAAAAAAAAAAAAAAAAGTACCTAGAGCTTTTTCTGTTTAAAAAAAAAAAAGATGCAACAAGTTGTTCAATATTCTCGCTGGGATTTGGGGTCCTGCTGAGCGGCCCATGCCTTAGTCTCTGCCCGGCCCCGAGACTTCAGTCCTCTGGGGCTCGGGCCCCCCGAAGTAGAATGAAGGGTTCAAGGGTCCCAGGTCCCCTCAGCCCTAATGGCTCTGGTTTTATGAATTCTAATCATATGGTGGTTTTAAGTCACGTGGAGACACCGAGTCACCTCTTAATTCCTAAATGCAGGGCAAAGCAACCTTCCTCTCTCTACTTCTCAGGAAAAGACATGTAGCTGGTCTCAAAGAATACACTCCATGTGCCATTCAGTGCTAGTTTCCAATCGTTCATTCCGGTATTTATTAGGCACCTACAGTAAGCCAAACAGTTCTCGCTGTTATAGATACCGTGGCACCTAGGGAGGCCACTTGCATTTATCGGGGTTCCCCTGGCTTCTGCCCCCGCCCTCAACACGCAGGGCAGATGCGGTAGCTCAACGGAAGGAGGCGGGAGAGAGAAGCAGCCCTTCCAAGTGGCCAGTCAGCCTGCTTGGTGGTAACACTGAGAAACGTTTTGTAACAAAGTTAAGTCTGAACCGCTGGTTTCTGTATTTAATTTGTTCCTATTGTCCCTCGCCATGAGTAACTGACGTCTCGCCGTTAACTGCTCCGACCTAACCGTGAACGCCCATCCGAGAGACCTACCCCACGGCCACGCGGCTATTCCGCCTGGGACGTGCCCTGGCCTCCGGGTTGGCTCTCATCGACCCACACGCCCAAGCGCACCCTCCACGGCCTCCTGAGGGGCCCGTGAGAGGCCGACGTGACAGGTGGTGGCGCGAAAAGGGAACCACCCACCCGCTCACCCCCCGCAGGTCCCGGGGGTGTGGCGGCCACAACCAGGCACCTGCCAGCCTGTCATTGCCTCAAGTCTTCCTACGGCCACCGGGGTGGCAACACGAGGCAGGATGTGGGCTGCCAACTCCGCTGCTTCACCCACCGCTCGCTCGCCACCAAGCTGGCTGAGGTCACGCCACGGCCCCTCGCAGAGTCTGCGCCTGACTCCTGAGCGCGGCGGCCGCAGGCGCCCGCTGTCCGGAGGGGCGGGGCGGCCCTCCACGTGGGGCAGGAACCGGGACTCTGGAGCCAAGCTGCCGGCTCGCGTGTGACCTTGGACCAAGGGGCCACACCTTCTTGTACCTCAGTTTCTCTTATCTCTAAGTGAGGATTAGAAATACTTCATTCATAAGCTTTTATGAGAATTACACAGGTTCCCGCTGGTAAGGTATAGCCTGCCACACGTAAAATGCTCTATAAATATTAGCTATTGAAGTCCCCACTTTTAGGTGGTAACATACTTGTTCGTTTGACGCCCCATAGTAGAGGAAATTACAGAGAACTTGGGACTGGAAACGGACCTCAGAACCGATACCGTTCTACCTCTTCCTCTTCGGACAAGTCACTGTGGGGAGAGTGAGCGGCGCCCCTGCTCGGGGTCTGAGGGGCCTGCGCCCCCCCGAGCAGGGACAGCAGGGGCCAGCTTCCTCTCCAAACGTCTGGCGCGCACACTCCGGGGCTGGAAAGAGCACTGCAGGTCTCCTTTCTAAAGAAGAGCGTGTTTGTAGAGAAGTGTGCAAAGCAACACCCGTGACTTTCAACAGGCGGTGTCCGGAGGCGTCCCCGTTTGCGGGGAGCCCGGAAGGCTCAGAGGAGAGCTGGCGGCATCTGTACGGGAGTCGGGAGAGGAGGCTGCGTGCCCCGGGGAGGAGGCTTGTCTGCTTTTGTGGGGTTCATTTTACGGGACCATGTATTTGTTTCTAATGAAGAACAGAACGGAAGTTCAGACGGCATTTGAAAAAGGGTGCACTTTGGAAAGGTCATTTGGCCAGAAACATTATTTGATGTATGGTTTCTATTAAGGTTTTCTAGAACTCAGATTCTTTGTGTTAAAATCTCAACTTCTGTACCATGCATGCACACTGTGCCATCTGTACTTAATGGAGGTTTCAAAACACCATGTAAGAAATGAGCCAGTCCCCCCAGCCCGCACCCCAGCGCACTCCTGCCCAGCTCGAGCTTTCCTTCTTGGGCGGGGGGTGGGGGGTGGCACCAGGTCAGCTGCGGGGCGATCAATGTCCACCCCCCCGTCTCCTGCCTCTGCCAACCTGTCAGTGCCCCCGGCGGCCCCAGGGCAGCGGGAGCCTGGCCCCCGCGGTCACAGCCCGGGCCCAGGCGCCCTCATCTCTTGCCTGGACACTGGAACAGTGCTCCGAAGCGATGCCTCTCTGACCCCGCCGAGGGGGAGGGACACGCCCACCACCTTGTCATCCTGTCACCTCCTTGCCACCCTCCACTGAGCCAGGGGGTCCTCTCTAAAGCTAAAAATGGAAGGCGGGCACTGCCTGAACCCCCCACGGGTGGCCCCACCCCTCCCCCGCATCAGAACAACACTGGACGTTCCGCCACCGGCGGGCGGGCCCGCGCTGGGCCACGTCTCCCGCCCGCCTCCTGCCCCCGGCGCTCCAGGCTCCGGTCACGCAGGCGCCCTCCTGTGCCGCAGGCTGGGTCCTGCGGGCCCTGCCCCGCACACCTCCCCTCCTCCTGCGCCTTCGCGCCCGCCCGCGGGCCACAGCTCATCTCTGCACGGCACCGCGTGTCTGAGACAACCTTGCCTGGCCGTGCAGGTGCCGCGCCGGCCACTCCCGCCTCCTCAAGGCCCGGCCAACGGGCTTCTCAGTTTTATCTTTAGCAGCCATGGAAGTCCCTGGGGAAAGAGGTGGTCCCCGTGGACTCATAATTGCTGTTCCTTCTTCAGCAAGCTCTTACATTGGCTAAAATAGCTCCATTATCTATCATGAATCATCATGTATCATGGGGTCTTTCTGGCTTGAATTTACTATGGCTTGACTTGAGTACTGTTCATATGCTGTACCTTGAATAGTAACCTGTAATAAAATAGCGTACGTTCTCATCCTTGAAATCGTTTTTTCTCAGTGTTTCTGGGTGTCCCGCTCTGTGAGCTTCCACATGTAGGTGGGTCTCTCTAACCAGGCCCAGGGGCATCAGGCACAGAACAATCCGCCACCCCCCAGCCACCTTGTGCGCCTCTCTGTCGTCACACGCTCGGCAGCCCGGCCCCGGCACCCCGGCCTGGCTCCACATGATCGTCGGGTCCTGCAGAGACTGTCCGCGAGTGAAACTGCACAGGACACAGCCTTCGGAGACCAGCGCCTCTGCCACTTGGCGTGACGTCCGCAAGCAGCACCTGCGGCACGTGCGCAGGTGGGTAGTCCCTGTCACTGCCGAGCAATGTGCTGCTGAAGGACCCGTTTCCATGTGGTTCCAGGTCGAATGCTGTCTGGGAGGCGGTCGGTCGGCAGTGCGCTCTTCCCTGCTCAGCCTCCCAACCACTTACCGGGCAAAGACGGTGCCGCTGCCCCCGGGGAAGGTGTAGGGGTGCTGCTTCCGGAACACGTGCCCCACGCGGCTGCAGGGGATGATCTCCAGGCTGCCGCCGCACTGCCACACGCGGAAGGAGATCTCTGAGGCGAGAACGGGGTGGGGTGAGCGGCAGAGTCTGGGTGCGCTGCGCGGCAGCCGACCCAGACCGGGCACAGGTGCCCTGCCCCCGGCCGGGGGAGCCCTCGCTGCTGAAGGGGCCGCCAGCTGGGGACACGCCTCTTCCCGGAACACGGTCGGGAGTGCTCCGCAGTGGAGGCAGCTCGCCGGCCCTGGCGCCCCAGGGCCCCGGGCCCAGTCAGGGAAGCCTGTGCGGCGGACATGCTCACTGGCTGGACTGCCGTGGATGTCCCAGTGCATCTGTGCATCAAACCGTCCAGACACCTTAACTGTCCCCAACGTTAAAGGGTCAGTTGTATCTCAATAAAGCTGGAGAGAGAAAAAAGGTGGGCAGAGCACACACCTCATGCACAGGGGGCATCCCCTCCTCAGCGGTGGTGCCCGGGCACCAGTGAGGGGCGTAGACAGAAGGAACTTACGCCACAACGTTAAAGAGCTTGCGTTTCGCCTCCAGAGCTTTTCTGTATTCTGGCTCCCTGCCCTCCCAGGACCGCATGTTTTACCGCCCAACCTAAGCCTCTCTTGAGAACCAAGGGGATGCTATTTATCCTGATGCGGGGCACGAATTATGTCCGACGGACGGACACTCCGATGGCTTTAAAGACACTGTCCAGCTGGCACCCTGGACAGTCAGGCGTACCACAAACTCTCGTCTGTCTCTCTTCCAAGCTTCCGTTTGTCGTTTCTGCCCCTTCTGGCGGGCAGGAAACGAGCGGCTCCCCCGGAATCGGAAACTGCCTGGTGGGTGAGGACACGAGGCTCGTACGCACCCAGGTTCTCGCCGCCCCACACGTCCATCATCATGTCGTATTTCCCCAGCTCTTCGAAGTAGGACTTATCCATCACGAACAGCCCTCCAGCAATCATGGGGGTTCTAGAGAGGCGGGGGGGAGGTCAGAGGCCAGGGTCAGCTCACCAGCACTGCCACGCCAGGTCAGGCCTACACTCCGACATTAAAAATAACCGCACGGCGTCGTCCCTTGCTGAGCCCTGGGTGCCCCTCCCTGCTTTACCACCCACTACCGTCCTCGCATGCCTCCCCCATCGGCCCTGCAAGACCCCCACAGCGCGAGGGGCTGGACTGAGTCCTACAGAGTGACCGCCAGGGCTGCCGGCACTCACTGACTAGTGGCTCTGGGCAGGTTCTCGGCCTTTCTGTGCCCTTTTTCCTTAGAGGACTCCAAAAAAACCACCCATGAAGCAGCCAGCACACTCAGGACACACTCAGTAACATCAGCTGTCTGAGCGCGGTCGCTGTCAAGGTGCGGGCCCCTCCTCTGTCTGATGGACCTGCATTGACCTCACTTCCCCGTCGGCTTGGGAAGGGTTAACAGAATTTAACAGAGCCCCCACTTCATCCCAGCAGAGACACCATGGGAACCGATTTGGTGTCAAAGTGCTGGAAATGGTCCACAGCACGCTGGGGCACAGCAGCACACTGGTGAGCAGCGTGCTGCAGACACACTCGGCACAGCAACGCTGGCCTGGCTGGTGGGTCTTAGGGTCTGCCCTGAGGAGGAGGTGCATCCCGACTCCCAGCGTGGACCCCAGGCGTGGCTTGGAGAGTCACCTCCTCTGTGGGCAAACAGGAGAGCGGACCAGGAAGGGCAACACAGCGGAGCCTCCTCCCGGGCCCCTGGGGTCGCCTGGGAGAGCCACCCTGCGCGGGAAGCGCTCTGCGTCAGAAACACGGAGACACTCAGCACTAGCAGGTCTGCCTTATGGATAAGCTTCACCTGAAGGCAGAAATCCGCAGATACCCCCTTGAGTTGAGACGGGGGATATGGAGGTGGGGTGGGGACAGAGAGGGAAAAACCATGTTAGGTCCCCAGGGCGGGGCCAGAGCCTGGGGGCTCACTTGCGATCCTGGCACTTACTTTATGGGGGCGACTGGGTTCCCCTGCCGGGCTCTCCTCTGCTCAGGCGTCATGTAATCCCACTTGAACACCAGGTTCCAGTCGAAACCTGCCAACCACAGAAGAGAAACACGGGTGCTGACAGCACCGGCCGTTGGCTCCAGCGCCTGCCGGCTCCCTCGCAGCTCAAAACACTGGGTATTGGGGTAAGACCCACTGAAAACTAAAACCACGCAAAAGACACAACAAAACACACAACGATACAGCGGGGAGAGTGGCCCGGGAGGAAAGCAGCGAGAAGGGTGCATTTAAATTTTCCGTCCTCAAGAAGCTCACACGGAACAGACCACGTGAGCCAGGCGTGTCTCCAAGCAAAACGCCTAAGAATAAACGTGAAGTGCGCAGAGGAGCAGGCTGCGCGGGACACCATGGCGTGCCCCAGGGCTGTGGGGACCAGAGAAGAGGGGGGTAAACAGTGCTGCGGCCCCCAACGCAGCCCCCGGGGCCGGGGGCGATGACAGTTCCCTGGGCCTGCAGACTGACTTCTTCAATGTGTTTCTCTTTAAAGAAAAAAAACCACGTATGTTCCCACAGTGTGAACATACATCACTGTATTAGTTTCGGGTGCACAACAGTGCTTAACGGTGTGTGGCGTCTCCAGTGTCTCTCGATGGCACGTGAACCCCATTCAAGGCAACAGCGATCTGGGCTGAGATGGCAGGGGGAGAACTTCAAGATGAAAAGGGGCCAAGAGATGCAGCGAAGTGGGCAGGTGAGCTCCAATTCCTGGTCTGTCTGGCGCCTGTCCTGGCTCACTTTCAGCGCCCACAGGCTGTGCCTGGACGTGGTTTCTGGAATTTGCAGGCCCCGGGCTGCCTGCTGCCAGCTCTCACCCTCACCCAGAAGGGACCTCTCACTGAGCCGCCCAGCGCCAGCGCCCCCACCTGCGGCCGCTCTCCGGGGGCAGGAGAGCGGGTCAGGGCCCCCCCTGCGGCCACTGCCCACATGGGCAGTGCTGGATCCGGCTCATCAACTGCATGTACGAGGGTCTGGCGGCCCGCCCCCCCGCCAGGTACCCCAGGATACCCCATCCTTCAGCTCCGTGCCTAGCCCCTCTGCCGCTGGGCTCACGGGGCAGGACTTGGGCAATGCCGCAGTTCCAATTTCTCGTCTGTGCACCCGATTGCCGGGTTTGTCTGCCCCGGGGGCCCTGGCGGCTGCAGACTGAGCAGCGCAGGGCGGGAGGCGGGGCCTCGGGGTCTCCTGGGCCAGCCCAGCCTACTTTATGGCTCAATCAGAGGAACGGAACCCAAAAGGGCCCCAGCTGTCACTGCAGAGCAGAGCAAGCGGGGGTGGGGGCGGGGTCAGCAGCAGGGCCGCTGACGCAGGCCCCAGGGGGACTTCCTGAAAATGCTGCTGCCCTGAGACCGACAGCCTGCCTCAGACACCCCAGTGTCAGCCAGAAACAACCAGCGCCCTGGCTGTGTTACTCACAGAGGGCGCCGCGGCCTCCGCTGACTGGTCCACAGAACATCACCTGCTTTTTTTGAATGTTCATTATAATTTTATTAATTTGGTCCAAAGAGATGGGCTATGTTAGATTTCAAGACTCTCCTCGAAGTGTCATCCTTGATTCCCCCAACCCCCCCAAAGGCGTTTCCTACAATGCTCTTAGAGCGAAGCCGGCCCTGTTCTTTGGATCCAGCAGGAGACCTGCGCCCCACACCAGGGCACCCTGCCGCCCTCACACTTGCGGCGACACAGGCGGCGCTTGGGAGGCAGGGAGCCCATCAATCCAGCTCTGGCAAAGGCTTGGGGAGCAAGACACTCCGAGCGTTAAGGTGTCTCGATGGCTAGGAATCTGTCCTTTCTACAGCCCCACCCCTTCTCAACTGAACTTTTGTTTCTCAACATAAATACAGTCCTCCCAGAAGAAATGGCCACTTGCTAGTGCGCTGATGGAGAAGGGGCCACATTCCTGACCTCATGCTGGACACGCTCGGCCCTTCACTCCCCCAGTGGCAGCATGGTCGTCACCCTACTTCTCAGATGGGGTACAGAGGGCGCAGGTGACATGACCCAAGGGGGCGAGGGCCCCAAAGGCCCAGCTCCCACTAAGTGGTCCCAGCACTGTTTTCTGAGGGTGCGCCCAGTTTCCTAGTTCCACTGCTTTCTTTTCTGATGCTAGGCTGTCTGTGTGTCTGTCTAGAATAACCCATCTTCTAATGTGCTCAGCGTGAGGCGGTAGGAAAAGAAGCCCCCTCACATTATGTAAAGGAATTCTTGTCCGGCGGGGTGGCTGGACAAGAATGCCCCCACCGCGGGCGGAAAAGCTCCACCGCGAATAAGCCACACACAGAGGCAAGGCTGCAGCGGCTCTTCCAGCCGCTCAGAGCAGCCTGTGCTGACCCCTGGCTCCCGGCCGAGGTCAGAGAGGCGAGGCCACCGACCAGCCGGGGTTCAGCGCACGGACCCCGTGTTACTGGGCTGCGGCAGAGTGTGGAGGACCCACGGACCCTCTCAGGGGGCCTGTGACGTCACTACTACGTTTACATTTACACTGAGGCCTTAGGTGCCTCTTTCCAGCTCCTTCTTTCAAATGGGCGTGATGGAACTTTCTAGAAGCTGCAGGACATGTGCTGCCAGCACTCGGAGGACAACAGGCCTTGGACTCACATCAGCCTGTGTTTTGCCAGTGTGTCGACTTTGCTTTGTAATACAGCAAATGCCGACAGCAGAGCTCAGGCCACCAGAAGTTCTCTGGGGCCTTTGACAGTTTTAAGGAAGATAAGCGGCACATGCGACGGCCGTTCTGGGGCCCCGTGGAGGGAGGGTGCGGGGCCGGGAGGACGCAGGTCCCCGGAAGGGCGGCAGGACCTGGCGGTGCGGGTGGGGAGAAGGGGCAGAAAACCAGCAGGACTCGGTGACTGGTGAGCTGGGGCCGGGGCGACCAGGTGTCCCCTGAGTGACCAGGAAGGTGGGTTTGCCGCCAGGACACACAGGCTGCTGGAGGGGCTGGCAGGAGGGAGGAGGCTCCAGCACCCCCGCGCCAGCTGCTCAAACCTGAGCCCATGGGCCCATCCCACGCTGCCCGCCGGCTCTGAGGTCTCCCCAGCGGGGTGGGGGGCGGGGGGTGACGACTGAATCCTCTCTGATGAAAAATGACCCCAGACTGCACTGAGCCAGATGTGTCACTACGGTGACAGAAATTCCAAGAGCTACGAGAACAGGAAACCCGAGACGCCCTGGAAGGAAGCAAGGCAGCTTCTTGCGCAGGACGGGGCTGTGCTTGCTGAGCACAGGCACCCAAGAGGACAGGCGCCGTGGCGTGAAAGCGGCCGTCCCCGCCACCCGTGATGCTGCGGGGCAAGGCGCGGGGACCTCGAGCGGCACCTACCGCCTTTTAAGTCGGCGGACGCCCCCACGTACTGGAAGTTGTCCATGTTGATGACGTCAATGATGGGCGACACGACCCGCGTCCGGTCCTGCAGCAGGAAGGAGGGAAGGCCAGAGTGGGCATCAGTCGCTGGGAGCGCCCAGTCCCTAAGGGAGGTGCCGGAGAGGCAGATGCCGCGACACCCGGCTGCCCCCGCGCCCACGGCCATCCCGTGGGTGGCCCCTTCTGTACTGCAGGGCAGAGGGGGCTGGTACGTGGAGGGACCAGCCCCCTGAGACGAGCTGCGGGGGGCACGAGGCAGCCAGGCCTCTGTGTACTCGGCTGATGGCCTGCATGGCAACAGTGTGTCCCCGGGGCCCTTTTCTGTTTTCCAAACATCAAAACTTCAACCCCAGGGTTGCCTTCATTTAAGCTCAGCTGCACTTGACCATGGGCCATTTATGAGCTGCAGTAAACCTCAGGAATGGACTCAGGGCTGAGGTGCCCCACAGCAAAGTTCTATTTCTCGGGGCATATATTTCTAGGAGCACGTAAGTGGTGTGTGGAGGGCAGAGTACCAACATCACTACGGCACCAGGTAGACTGAAGTGACCAGGAGTCTACGTTCTCAGTCTGGCTTATCTGTGATTCTGCCAAACAAAACAACCCCCCCACCCCCAACCCTGAGGTGCGTCTTTGTGCCACCCTGCCATTGTTCTGGTAAAAGGCTCTGTGAACACGAGGTCTTGTCACTTCCCTAAATCTAGCTGTCTGGTGCCCTGTGCCAATAGGTAACGAAAGAGTTGGTGCTTCCCTGAGCCAGTCACGGGACCCCGTGTTAGCCAGAGAGACTTCAGGAAACATTAGTAACAGAATCAGCAGCACTCGGAACATAATACATCAGAGAAACACACTAAGAGAATATTACAAAGCTCCCACATCGCTCAGGTGCAAATTTACTGGGAAAATCCAATAATCCGCCTGGTGCACAGAGAGCAGAGAGGAATGAAACCCCCGATGCCTGGCTCAGCCTGGACCAGGGTGCGGGAGTGAAAGAGCATCGTTTGCTCTACCACTAAGTCCACCTCACTTCTTTTTGTTTCCTAATAGGGTTGGAACTACTGAGAACGAGTATCCCAACCCTTCCTATCCTTCCTTTAGGGACAGGTCCCTGAAACAACTCTGACAGTGGCCTTGGCACACTCCAGTGTTGTGGGTGTGGCCTCGGCTTTCCCGGCACAGCCTGGCGCAGTGAGAAGTCAGCAGTGGGAGCCAGGGCAGGCTCTGCTCTCAGCGAGGTGTGTGCGTGTTGCGAGGTGCCTCGGTCAATCAAGTACTTGGTGAAACCCATGTGCAATCCTGGCTTCGCCTCCAGGATGACTTTGGCTAAGTTATTCAAGTGCCCTGAACCCCAGGCTCCTTATCTGTCAAATGGGAGCGATACCTAGATTAAATGTAATGTATAGAGCATCCAGCACATAGTCAGTACTCAATTAGAGGTAGTGACTATGATGATCGTAATGCCACCAGCTTGTGCTTATTCATTATTTGGTGACTTGCTGCCCGTCAACTCTCCTCGCTGCCGTAAAAAAGAATGAGCTGTCCATTTTATCATTAAGTTTGCTTTTTCACTCCAAAAGAGAGCTTTCTCAGCAGGGAGGAGAGGAAGTCAATAGACACGCAGGAGGCAAGGGAAATGCCGGACGGAGGGCCCAGCATTAACACTGGTGACGACGTCTGCGGGTGCACAGGGTGACCCCCGGCAGCTCCCTCAAGGGGCCAGCACCTGCCCTCCGGGGCGCCCCCAGCCCGCCTCCCTCGGCCACCAGCAACAGCAGCCCTCGCATGGCACTGGCTGGAAGCCAGGTGGGGGTCCCAACCGCTCTGCCCCCTTGACTCCGAGACCTGGCTGCAAAGCTGCAAGGAAGGAAGATCCTCCGAAGAAAAGGGTCTCTCACCCGTCGGATTCACCGCCCTCTGCCGGTCCCTGCCGCCTCCTTGCCAAGTGAGGTGCCCCCCCTGAGAGGCCCCACGGAGGCCCGATGTCCCAGAGGCACTCTCCCCCTCTCTGGCACCGAGGAAGACCGCAGCCCGAGCCTGACCTCACCTCGGCCACCCTCTCCAGCAGCGGCTCCAGCCAGCGCTCGTTGCACTCACAGTGGCTGTCCAGGAACGTCAGGACCCGGGCCTGGGCCGCGTCAGCGCCCCGGACCCGCGAGCGCATCAGGCCTGCGGGAGGGAGTTCGAAAGCACGTCAGGGGAGAGCAGAGAGGGCGTCTGAGAACAAGGCAAGAGCTGCACACCCAGCGCGTGCGTCGCACCCTCCCCCGCGCTCACGGCTCTGAGGTCTCTTCCTGGGCAGAGAGTTACCTGCAAACTGTGGGCAGAGGATCAACGCCACCCTGTAGATACCGAGAAGACAACCCACTCAGGAAAGCTGCCTTCTGAGAAACGCCTTTTCATCACTGAAGTCCCCTTTATCAGGCGGCTGCAACGTGGACCTTTCACAGCCACGCTCCTCTGTCAGAGCGACAGAGATCCTAAGGAGCTGGGCTGGAGGTGGTGTCACCTCTTCCTGGGTTGATGGGGCCAGTTTCAATGGGGGTAACTTAGCCACGTTGCAAAGAAATCACAGAGCCCTGTGTTTCAGCTGCTACACAAAACTAGTTACACTATCAAATTACACAATGTATATATTTGTGATCCATTAGTAATAAACATTTTTAGGTCACACAGTGCCTTATAAACAGCACATTTATCCACACATGATGTGGTCATAAATGGCTTTACTATGTGTGCTGGGCTCCCCATAGGAAAGTGACGTGAGTATTCACAGCTGGTGAGGACCCATGTTTTAGGGTCCTTTACACACAGTGGTCACAGTGGGTTTTCCACGCTGTTTGCAGAGCTGTGCCAGAGCAGGGAAAAATGACAGAAGATTCCTCTTTCTGGGGTGGGGGGTGGGGGAAATGGGGGAAGGGCGTCAAAAGGTACAGACTTCCACTCGCGAGTTCTGGGATGTAACGGACAGCGTGGTGACTATAGTTAACCACACTGTGCTTGGAAGTTGCTAGAGGAGACCTCAAAAGTTCTCAGAAGAAAAAACAGCTGTAACTATGAGGTGCTGGATGTGAACGAAACTTGCTGCGGTGATCGGTGTACCATATGCATGGGTATCACAGTATGCACGTGTATCGAATCATTATACTATATACCTTGAGCGGATACAATGTTACAGGTCAATTATGTCTCCATAAAACTGGAAAAAGTAAATTAATGCAAAAGTGGGCAGGACAGTAGGAACAGAGAAAGAAAGCCCGTGAGACCAACAGAGACTTGGGCTGGGAGTAAGGTTGTCGCCTGGCTGCTGTCACTGGGCAGCTATGCGGCCTTCAGGAAGCTGCCTGACCTCTTGCGGCTTCACTATTTCCAGCTGGGAAATGGGAGGGAAGGGTGAGGCCCTCCGCTTTCAGACCCCATCAGAATCGTCCGGGTAGCTCTTAAAACGCAGACGCCCAGGCCCCGCCCGTACAAACCCAGACCTTTTTGTCTAACTGTGGGCAGGGCCAGGCGTGGCCACCTGTGACGCTCTCCAGGGTTTCTAACGAGCTGCCAGCGGGAACCACAGGCGCAAGAAGCCCCCGGCCCTGAAGGCTGCTCTTGGCCACTGTGACAGTTCATGCAACCGACTGTCCCTGTCGTCTCGGAGCTCTGCTGTCGGCCCTTGTGTGGGTGTTGAAACAGATGGGATCTACACACACACATGCATATGGACACGCACACACACGTGTGCCCACAGACGCGCAGATGCTGTGTGCGCATCACCCCGCCTGGCCAGCGCGCCCCTCGCCTGCGCCACACAGGCGCACGGGCACCTGGCTCCGCACCGCAGCCATCCCCGCCCCCGCCCCACACGACGCACGGGGTGGGGGCGCCCAGATGTTTACCCTAACGCACAGCATGTAGAGAGTTCACATTTAGAAACACTTTTTTTTTCTTGATTTGTAAGTGGTTTAAAGGCATTAGTAAGCCTAGCAAGTGATCTGTCGGTAGTAAAATGCCAACATGAAAAATATCTTTCTGTCCTCCACCTCTTTTGTTTTCTCCCTGCGCCAGCAGATACTTTGGGTTTAAATCCAAAAGTTATTACTTAGCTTGTTTAGGGACAAATGCAAATACAAAATGCAAGATTTTGGTTTGATCTCGAGACCTGGGAGGACTGTGAGCCTGGGAGGCAGGTGGGAGTCCAGCAGACAGAGCCGTCTCGGGGGCAAGGCCGGTCCCTTGGTTCTACAGCTGGAACATCTGGACGGATGATCTGACAGGCGGTTCAAACGCGGTGCTGATGACGCAGGCCTCGTGGGCCAACGCACGTTATTGGCGGATTAGGTTCTTGCTAAGAGAAGCCGCCTGCTTTCGGTCCAGCTGGACGGCACAGGGAGCCAGAAGAGCGAGCACGCCCTGATCAAAGAGCGCAGCCGCCTCTCCGGGCCCGGCTGTCGGCCGCGAACAGCAAACACGGCCCGCACTTAAGGCTCGGCAACAGCCCCGTGCAGAGCGACGTCTCAGGCTCTGGGGGAGCCACGGGCTCTCCAATGTCAGCGATGCAATGGCTGCTGACACACACACTGCGATTTCAGCTTCCTTTCCAGACACTTCAAAGTAACCCTTTCCCCGCTGGAGACGGTCTTGCAAGTGCCAGTGAAGCACACTCGGTGAGCCCAGCTGCAGCAAAGATGAGGCTGACGGCGGATTTTGAGGCTGGCAATTGCGAAACCCAATCAGCACGTAACTGCGCACCTTTCTTGGACGGCGCCCCTTCGGCGGGCTCTCAAAACTTGACTCTCGGTTCCTTTATCAGATGCCTGGAGCATGGAGTCACTAAATTTCCCATTGCTAAATCTTTGTTGTTTCTTTTAAACTCTAGTAGTACTCAAGGGACTGACAAAACATCCTAGGCTGTAAGAGGAGGAGAGAAGCCAATTTTCTAAACACATAAATAGAAATGTCATTTGAACCCTTGCCCTAGTACACAAACCATTTCAATTAGTTAAGCTCTGAATGTCTTTGCCGTGTTTGCTGGGAGAGGATCCAAAGCGGCTCTGGTGGCGGGAGACTGACAAAGAGGCTGCCCGGGTCATTGTTCCCCCAACTGAAGCCTTTCTTTAAGTTATTACTGGGCTCCGGAAAAGCCGGAGTCCGACGCTCTGGTGCTGAATGAAGAAGAGCCTTACCTTCTCGCCGGTCGTTTCTGAGAACCCGCACCTTTTCAATTTTTCCCAAGAGGGCCCCGTCCTCAGCTGGGAAAAGAAAAGAAACAGAGCCCCTGAACCTCAAGTTCATAAAGGGCTTTGCGCTCAAGCACGGATCCTTGACATCTCTGTGGGGGTCCCCCAGAGGCACCTCTTCTTTCTGCAGCCCCGATTCGGGCCTTTCAGAGGCCCGTCGTCAGCAGCCGCACACTCCGGGAAGGCCGGCGCCCGGGGGAGGGCCAGCGCGGGGGGACGGGGCTTGGTACTTACGGTCGTTGCTGTAGTCGTCCACCAGGATGATTTCTTTTATGAGGTGGGGCGGGCTTTTCTTAAGCACACTGAGAAGAGACAGAGAGACCGAGGCTGCAGGCCCGTTAGGGGTATCACTTCCGGTGGGGACTCTCCCGTCTTGGCCCCAGTGTTTGGCTTCGGGAGCCTCGCTCTGCACACTCAGGGGACCTGCCTGCCCCCCTAGCCAGCCTCGACCTGACTGTGCTGGGGACACAGCCCGCGTGCCCTGTCCCTGCGAGGAAATGCCCCCCTGGGGGCTGCAACAGGTGGACAAGGGGCGGCACTTCCCGGCCTCACCTGACCACTGTCCTCAGCAAGGCCGACCTGGCTTCGTTGTGGAACGTGATCACCACGCTGGTGGCCGGCAGGTCCACCCGCCACTGCTTCCGCTGACACCTGAGAAAGAGAGAGTTCGTCCTCTGAGCGGGGCGCCCAGACCAGCCACCGAGCACGGGCAGGTGGACCGGCCAGGGCGGACACTCCAAGATGAGCCTGCGGTCTGCGGGAGACTCTGGCCCCTTCTGAGATAGAGTGACAGCGAGACATGAGGACAACAGAAAAAACCCACCCGGAGTTAACGTTTTAAAAGATCAAAGATTTCGGCACAAAGTAACATATTGAGAACATCCTTCTAACATGTTGAAGAAAAAGGTGTTTTGAAACGGGGAGATCCCATTTTCTGTCATGTGCTGACACGTGCTCCTCACGTGTCGGGGTGGTTACGAGCCCCTGAGGCCTCTGCTGGGCCCCGCACGGCCACCCCGAGGAGAAGGGGGGCTGGGCTTTCTGTCAGCATTACAGAGCTAGTTCTGGGGGGTGACGTTCTTCGGCAATTCGGGGGCTCCTCAGGGCTGGAATCAAGGGCAGTGGCGCTGCCCTTCCCTCGCTCTCTCCTTTGCCCACAGCAGGCATGAGGGGCGGCCGCGCGGCTTCGCGGAGCCGTCTCTGGAACCTGCCACGGCCGCCTCACCCCTCACTGTGACCGCGACACTGACCCTTAGCCTGGACAGCAGGGAGGCATGTCCCTCACCCCGCCAGGCCGGCTCCAAACGATGTGGGGGACGCCGGCGCGGGCCCAGGGGCCCGTTGCCTCTGGGGAGAGCCTTGAATGGCCTCGGACCACGGCTGTTCAGGGACCAGGCCCACACAGGACGGGCCGGTCCCAACGAGGCACTTCTCAAGCTGGTCTCTAAGACACAAACACATGAGGGCAGCGAATGGCTCCTTAGGACGATAGGACTCTGGTACTCCAGGCCGGAGATGCTGGCTGATTAAAGGCAAGCTCTGCACGCAGCCGCTACCGACAAGGAGGCCCGTTTTGTGATTCTGACCTAACTCCTTTTTAAATGCACTGATTTTCTCGCTCGTTCTCAAGATTTGCACTTGCTATCATCCCCTAGAGACAGAAACGGCCAGTGAAGTGGGACCAGGCCCGGCAGAACCCATGAGGGATCCTTCGAGGCAGGCTCCACAGACCTGAAGAACACGTGCCCAGAGGCGGTGTCCCAAAGGACCCCAAGAGAGCATGACATCGAGGCGGGCGCAGAGCGCCGCGGGCTTCCAGCCTGGCAGGACGCCGGGAGCGGCGGGCCGGTGCGGTGTGAGGGTCTGCAGAGTCAGCGAGGCCTGGAGAGCGGCTGGGGCAGGCTGCTGACAGGTCTTTGGCCCTGGGAAACAGTTCTTCACCAGTCCCCCGCCCCCTTTAAAAGAAAAATCCTCACCTGAAGATCTTTTGATTTTAGAGAGAGAGGAAGGGGGGAGAGGGGAAGAGAGAAAGAGAGAGAAAGACCAATCAGTTGCCTCACGCAGGCACCCTGACTGGGGACCGAACCCACCCCTTAGGCATGTGCCCTGAGCAGGAGTAGAACATGCAGCCTTCTGGTGCACAGGACAACACTCCGACCAGCTGAGCCACGTGGCCGAGGCTCAACCAGCCATTTTAATACCAAGGTGGAGAGAGTAAACAAGTCTGGCTGTGGGCGGAAGGATAGGGACCTGTCACTCAGCCCCAGGACGGTCCCTCCAGGCCAGCCTTTGTGACCTGCGAGCACGGCGCTACTTAATGCACTGTCCCTGGCGCCGGAGCCACTGAGCCCTCCCCTGGGCCCACGCGTCGGCGGACACGCACTTTGCTCCTCAGCTCCCGCCGTTTACCACGGCTGTGAAGGACCTGCTCGCAGGGTCGGAGGAGCCCCCTCTGCAAAGGGAAATCAGCGGCAGGAGGACGCGGATGTGCGGAACCCCCTGCAGCTCGGCCACACCACACGCACTGCGACGGTCAGGGCGGGGGCAGAGGCTCAGGCAGCCACACCATGACCGGCGAGTCCCCCACACCTGCAGGGAAACGGTCAGCAGACACCAATTTTCCCTCCTGACTGGGAACACGACTTCTGAGAAGCAGATTGTGAAAACGAGCAAGAAAATCAGTGCCATTAAAAAGCAATTAGGTCAGAATCACAATATGGGCTTCTTTTCTTTATTACAGTTATAGGGACAGCTTGATTTTAATTAATCAAGAGAAAACTGCATAATATACCAGTCGTTGTTGTTGGAGGAACACGCATTCTGGAATTAATATTGTACTTCATTAGAGCTCTTGATGGCTAAGTCTTCAAGGACAAGCTGACTGATAGGCCTCCCCCACCTTTCCAAGAATTAGCTGATTGTTAGAGGAAGGAAGAATCTGCCAGCTTCACTGTAAACAGATTACCAAAGAATGCCACCCCCTAGAACTAGCTCTGTAATGCTAATGACAGAAAGCCCAGTCCCCCTCTCCTCACGGTGGGGGCGGTGGGGGCGCAGGCCCCAGGAGAGGCTTACTGCCCACCGGCTTCCTCTGCGGCCCTGGGAGAGACCCTGGGAGAATCCAAACGGGGAGGAGGAAGCCTTTCTCACGGTCAAGTCAAGTCTTGGTCAACACAGCCGATCCAATCAGGCCCCATTCTCTCCTTTTCCTTTTCTCCGTGGGAAGCCACCAGGCGCTCGGGCGGCATTTCTCACAGCGCCTAGCACGTCCACACTCGCATCGTTAAAATTCTTCTACATATTCACAAGGCACCAAGTTTTGCTAGGAATCGGCAATCAGAAAAGAGGTACCCCAATTTTGTACCCCCTGTTTAGGTAAAAACCGAGGAATATGTTATATCCCATGAGGTAAGAGTACGCGCGTGTGTGTATATGAACTCAGGCCCCAAGTCCTCCCAGTGAGCCAAGAAAAGGGGGAGGCAAGGGAGTGAAGAGTTTCTTTGAAGAGAAACAATAAATCTTGCGTGTAAAGAGCCGCGTTCCTGCCAAGCGGTCCTGACTGCTCAGAGCTCGTGACAGACGTGCAGAAACCCTCCGGGGGTCGGCTGCCGGGGACCTTCCTCCTTACGCTCGTTTGCGGAGCTGAGTAGAAGGGGGACTTAAGTCAGGACCAGGAAGGGCTTGCGGTTCGTCTGTTCTCCCTCCCAGACGAGACCAAGTGCCGGGGGTGCAATGCCGAGGACAGAGGACGGGGCGCGGGGTCCAGCCCACTCCACTTTCCAAGGCTCTGTACGGCAGCGGTCCCTCCAGTCGCTTTTGGTCCAGTAAAACGGAGACTTTAAAAACAGGGCAACATGGAGATTTAAAAAAAAAAAATAAATCCTCAATGTAGTTTTACATTTCTTTGCGAACCCACGGCTGCCAGTTGCGGAACGCCCGACGGGGTGGACAAACGGGCCGATCTCCAAGGCAAGGGCCCCTCCGCCCCTGGGGGCGGGATGACGCTGTCGCAGCCTCGTCTTTGTGCGGATGTCGCCCTGGAGGCTGATCAAGACCCTGGGGAAAATATCCCACGAACGCCGGCGGGCCGGGGAGCGAGGGGCCAGCCCCGTGGGACAGCGCGGGGGCTGCTGCGCGGTGCGCAGGGCGGCACAGACGCCTTCTGCGCCCCCCGTCGCCCCAGCCGGTCCAGTGCTTTGACGGAGGGACCCTGGAAGCCGCGGCTGCTCCCTGCGACCCAGGGCGCCTCGCGTGGCTCCCTCCTGTGGGAGAACGGCCCTCAGGGCACCACATGGTTACCAGGACCGTCAAACAGAAACGCAGGGTCAGGGACTCTGAGCGCTGGGAAGGTCCCTGTAGTTCTAACGCAGGATATAAACAGGCGTGTGGCCGCTGTGCCACCGGTGGCTGTCATCGTGGAGGTTAGAGGGGAAATACCTCCGGCGACCTGAAGATGGGGCCAATGAGACGGGCCTGGGACGCGCTTCCAAATCCAAGTGCGGCGGGGGGAGGGGGGCGGGGGTGCGGGGGTTGCTCAGAGTGAGAACTCTGGGCACGTAGCCCGTGAAGGGCTCCTGGCCTTGCCAGAGGAGCTCCAGTGATGGACAAGCCAGGGAGCTGGAGCAGCGTACTTGAACAACAGAGACTTCCAGAACCTCTACAAGGTCACGGAGGAGCTCCTCGCCAAGAGCCAGACCACGCTTACTGTTCGACAGCCGTCCCGGCCACACAGAGGGTCGCGGGAATGAAGAAACACGGGTGAACGTTGCCCAATCTCCCGGAAACGCCCAGTTTGCTAGGAGTTTGTACGGAAAATACTCAGGAACTTGATTAGTACCTAAGCATTATTTTACATTAACAAAAAACAAGTTTCTACTGTGGAAGAGAAGGGAAATACCCACATTTTAAAAAATGAAGCAAAAAGTTAAAACCAACGTTGAGCCTGGGGGCCCGGCACATGGAGGGGGGGCCCGGGCCCCTCTGACGCCGGCAGGGCAGGCCCCGCAGAGCCCGGAGCGGGGCTGAGGACCCCGCCGCCCCAGCGTTCAAGCCTCCCCGCGTTCTCACTCCGGCATGGGGCCTGACACCGGAGGAAATCCGATGGCACTGGGGACCCGGAACGCTGGTCTCCGCAGCAGCCCCTGCCGCACCCCGGCCTCCCAGGCAACAACTCAAGGGGACGTGGCGCCGGGAACTGCACGGCAAACTTTGGGCCGTTGACAGGTTCTTTCATGTGTTACAGTTATTCACGTTTTCTGTCTCTTCAGTGATTCTGAAAATTTCCATGTTCTTAGAAAAGTATCCATTCCATGTAAGTTTTCAAACTTATTTGCATGAATACTTAATTTTCTCCTGATCTTTACAAACTCCGTCTATAGTATGTCTGCTTTTTCCAGTTCCTCACGTAATCATGCCTTTTCTCTGTTTTTGAGATTCAGCAGTCTAGGTTTTCCACTTCTTGAACACGAAGCTTTATACAACCCTCTGTATTGTTTCTTGTCTTCCTAGTTCATCACCTTTTTTCTTGCCTTCTGCTTTTGACGTTCACCCTGCCGCTCCCACCTTCTGGAGTCGCTGCGCGGGCCTGGGCTGGGCCTGCGGAAGGAGCCAGTGGCTCTAAGTCTGAGCCACGTACAGAAACAAAGGCGGGC